TATGTACAATGTACATATATACACATGGTACAATCATTAAAAAATTTTTCACATATTTTATAAAAAGATTATTTTTATAAAAAAGAATCTATAAAATTTTATTGTAATCTATAAAATTAATATATATACTAAAATAACTTAGAATTATTATTATATATATTAATAAATAAATATGATTATACACGTAATATATATAAAATTTATTTTAATTAAAATTCTATTTTTATAGAGTACATTAATTTTATGTATGACAATATATATCTAATTAAAACATATATAATTGTATAATTCTAACCATATGATCATAAACTTACAATTAAAGAAGTATACTTACACAGATAATTTTTTGTTCATAAAAATATAATTAATATAAAATATAAATGTATAAAACACTTATAATATTAAAAAAAAGTAAGTGATACATTGTAGATTATAAAAATATCATCAATGTATATTTTTTATATATTTAAATTATATTAATTAAAAAAATAGAGGTTAGATTTTTCGATAGATTTTGAAACTTAAGAAAAAAATAATTATTGATTAAATAATTTTGTTATATATTACAAAAGCACATTCATATATTTAAATATAATAAAATAATATTTTTTGTATATATTAATTTTGTTAAACAAATGTAACATCTTCATATTATAAATATATTAATGAGAAATTAATAAGAAACTAATGAGAAATACACAGAAAAAAAAACAATAATAAAATATTTAATTTTGAATAAATTTAATTTAAATTTTGATATCATGTAAAATATATAATATTTCTGCTAAACAATATTTAGATTTTTTTTAAAACTATTTTATTAATAATAATAATATAATGATATATGTATTATTTATTATAAATATTTGTAGATTATAGCAACAAGTCAATTTTATTACAAGGAATAAATATTATGACACAGAATAATCCAATAGAACTTTCAATAAAAAAAAAATTAATAGATTCTTTAAATCCATCTTACATCGAAGTAATAAATGAATCATATATGCACAATGTTCCTAAAGGATCTGAAACACATTTCAAAGTAATTGTCGTTTCTGATTTGTTTAAAGATAAACCACTTATTAAGGTAATGAAATTTATGTATAACATTTACAACATGAGATTTAATAAAAATTTTTACTTATATTTTATATTCAAATTTTATGATCAATTTCTATAATATATGTATAGTATTATATTTGATGAAGTATTTTATAAAAAGTCTATAATATTTTCTAAAAGTACTGTTTATAATTTATGTTTCATTTTAATCTTAATTCATATATTTTAAAGATATAATTTTATTGATTTAGCGTCATCAAATGATAAATAAATTATTAAAAGCAGAATTACAAGGAAGTGTGCATGCATTATCAATTATAGTAAGTACTATTATAAAAATATTTTAATATAATGTGAAAAATTTCAGTAAAATTTGAAAATAAATATTATTTTCAAATATTTAAAATGTTAATTTTATGTTTATTTACAAAGGCGAAGACATCTGATCAATGGAAAGACAAATGTAATATATCACCAAGTCCAGTTTGTAGAGGTGGTTTTGGAAGATAATTTTTGTTATATATATCAAAATTTAAATTATAGATATCATAGTATATACATATGATATTTGCATTAAATTTTCTAGATTTTAATTTAATTCTATTTTATAATTATGCAATTAAGGAACTTAAAATAAGATAATTATAAATTTTTAAATTCAATATTAATTATTAATTTGAACTGAACAATAATTTAAAAAAAATAAAAAGATACATTAATGTCATAAAGCAAAAGTATCCAGTCTTAATTTTCCCTCATTTTCAGTAAAATAAAGTATATCAGCCATAGATTGTTCTGCTATTGCTTCTTCTGCTCTATCATGCATCTATAAAATATAAATAATTGTTGAAAGAATATATCGAAAAATTTTTTTATTAAATCATTACTTACTCCTCTAAATGTAACATCTGTTGGAGGACATTTAAAGTTTGGTCCAAAATTAACAGAAACTGTAGCACTTTTATGAATAGAAACTGTAGGATAATAAGCTCCTTTATTAATGTCTATAAATGCTTCACCTTGATTTATTCCATTTTTATAAAATATAATTTTGCTTCCTTGTAATGGTTTTAGAGCCTTAAGAGCTTCAGGTACTTGATCTTTTTCTTCATAATAAAGATGACTTTTGAATTTTACTAAGGGCTAATGTATAAACATCAATTTATAAAATTTTTATGATAATATAATAAACTTACATTTCATTCTTACCCGATCCTTGTAGGTATTTGGTAAATGTGATGCATCATGTGTATCTGGTAAAATTAAGAGGAATCCTAATGTATCACCTTCTCCATAACCATTGCTATAATGTTTACCTCTACTTTCATGAAATCGTGTACCTTTTCTATTCATAATTAAAATTATTTATTTATTATAACATTGTATTATATTGAAATTATTTTAAAATAGAATATAAGAATTGAATTATACCTAGATCTCCAGGAATATCCAAATTTATCATAACCTAATGGAGCTTGTAAGTTAGCATATTCTTGACCCCATCCTAATCTTGTAGCTGATCCTTCTGGCATTTCTTCAATAGTAGCTTCCCAATACCAGGTACCTCTACTTACATCTAAAGAATGAACAAGTCATTTAAATGATATAAAAAATATAAATTAATAATTTTAATTTTTAAATAATTTAATGTATATTTATTGTATGTATAAAATTATTTCTGATATAATAGATTATAATGTTAACATACTATGAGTTGCTCTGACCATGCAATAGCCCTTTTCTCCAGTAACTGCTAATCTATCTTCTGAAACTCTAAGTTGTGGTGCTCGATCATGCAAAGCAAGTAAAACTGTACTTGGACTCAAAGCTCTATACAGCCAACCAGGAATAGGTTTTCCAGCCCAATCACTACTTTCATCAAATTCCTGTAAAATAATATTTAGATTTATTATTAGATTATATATGAATTAAAAAATATACAACATAATTACAAACCTGTCTAAAAGGTGCATGTGGATCAGGTTCAGCAAGAATATATCGATAACCATCTTTATTAAAAGGATGTTCAAGAGGATATCCATGAGCAGGTAACTTAGGAGCTGTCATATCAGAACCTCTACCTTTTTTACCAGGTCCAGTACCTGTTCCTTCTCCAGGAAATTTACGTTTTGCATTGCGACCACGAAAACCTCCACTAAGTGGTACTGTACATGCCATAGTAATATTCATTACTTATGTAGTATAAATTTTAATATAATGATATATCAAAAATATAACAATTGCAAAAAGATTATCTATATATATGCTTAACTGTTAAATTTTTTAAAAATAAAATTGACGAAATTTGAGATGAAATTTTTTTAAAATAAATTGAATATTATGAATTGATTCATAATACTATAATTACTATTATATAATAAATTAATAATTTCATAGAATTTATTAATAACATAACCTATTTAGACATTCTATGATTAAGCAAGTTGTTATATGATACCATAGTACTGATTAATATCTTGATAAGATAAGAAATAAGTATAACAAAAAGAAAAAAATTAATTATTGAAAGATAAAAATAAATATAAATAAATTAATCAAGTAATTAATCAAATATGCAAAGTTTAATATAAAATATTTATGTTTTTAATTATTTATATACATTATTTTGTTAATAATAATAATATTTAATGATATTTAAATAAATTTATTAAGATATCTCTCTTTTTTGAAATAATAAATTTCACCTCTACATTAAACTAATTATAAATAATTATAATTTATTAAGCTTAATTAAACATAACTAAGCTTACCAACATGTTGAACACCCATTTCAGTTACTTTTAAATGACCACCCTTAATCATTGCTTCATAATTTGGTTTAATCATTTGAAGATCAGAACATATAAGTCCAAATAATTGTCCATCTGAATTGCTTTCCTCAATAGTAAATAATGTTCCAACATCTTTTAACAATGCTCTATGTATCTATATTCAAACATTAGTTATTTTTGTACATGAAAAAAATACAGCAAAAAATTATAAATCAATAATATGTTTAATAAATATATAAAATAATTCAATGATTTTTAATTTATATTTCTATATTTTTAATTATATTATTATATTATTTCAATATTTTCTTATTTTTTTTTTTTTATGTATCATTATGTAGTAAATTAAAACAATAATATTTAAAATATTAAGATCTTAGAATACTTAACAATTGGTTAAACTAATATAAATTATTTCTAGTTTAATATGTAATTTTATATTTATAAATGTTTACCAACATAATAATTTAATTTCATTTATATAAATAAATAATAAAATTATTTTAATATTTATTGATAATAATATAAAATTAATAAAAAAATTAAAAAAAATTTTTTTTTAACATTATTTTCAAATGAATTAGAGAAATGCTATATTTGCAATAAAATTAAATATAATATACAAAATTAAATATATAATAGACTTACTGTTGCATGCCATGATTGTGTTACTCTACGTGGCATTGTTGTCATGCTATCCCAATGACATTCAATGAAAGGAATAATATCCTTATCTTTATGAAAAAATGTTCTTTGTTCATTTTCTTTCTGAGATATTTGCAATAAATTTGCTATTGCTGTTACACACATTTGTGGGAATGCTAGAAAAATTATATTCTTTTAAATGTGTTGAATAATTAAACAAAAGTTCAAATTATATATTAAATAATATAGTTATTATTTAAATATATTCTTACGTGCTTGATTTTTTTTGAAGCTTTCTAAACCAGTAGGAGAACAATTTTTGCACATAAATATATAATTCATCATAAAGGGCACTAATTTACCCAATTGATATCCAATGCAAGATTCATGAAACCATCTTGAACAACTAGCACATAAAAGTTCTATAATATTAAGATTTCTTTCCTTTCCACTGAAAGAATATTATAAGAATATATATTTATAAGTATTTATTATTTTTCATTGCTTGCTTCAATACAAATTTTAAATAAACTACCAATAACAATTTCCAGCTTCATTATTATTTGTTCGGCCATTAGGTTTATCAATATTTTCTTCCAATTTATGTTTTTGTTTGCTTTTATCATCATGTTTTACTTTTATCTTGTCATCAATAGATTCAAGTTGCAATCCATCTACTTTATCGATTGGGCTATAAAAAATATATTTATACTTGACTATGTAAGTTATGAAATATATTAATGGTTTATAACCTCAAAAGTATTTTTTCTGATATGCGAATTTTAAGTAAGTATTTTTATATCGAATTAAGTATAATAATACAATTATATTATATATATATATATTTTTATAAATATAATATACATGAATATAAATATTTAATAAATACCTTTCAGTTTTTTCTTCTGACATTTTTGACTGTACGTTTCTATTATCTTTAAATTATTCTTGTTTTTATTTTATCTTAAATTTTTTGATGTATCAATACATAACAATGTATTTATTGAATATACATAATTATACATGCTTTCTTCGGTTTACTTTTTATTTGTTAGCCATAACTTATTTTTTAAAGCTCAATTCATAATCACATGTGTCTATTTATAATGCACAAACATCGATAGGATACTATGGAGATTAAATATCATGTAATCATATAAATTTATATATAAATAAATTAAATATTATGCAGCAGAAATATATAAAATGATAATATTATGCCATTTATTT